CACCAACATCCTTCTGCCTGTCCTTGTACAAAACATGAACCAGTGTTTCTCCAGAATATGTACCAGACAGGTCTGTGGGGTCATTGAAGATTGGCGTTTTTCAGTTTGAAAACTCAGCTCAGAGCACTGACTCTGGAGCCAGACTGCCTGGTTTCCATCCCACTGTTGATATGAACAAGCTGAATGATCTTGGGCATTGCTGAACCTCTCTGTGCCTATGTGCTCACCTGTAATAAGTCATTAATATTATAGTAGATATTTTAACCTAGGACTATGATGAGGCTAAGTAAATGTTGTACAGTTTGCATTGCAGGGTTTTTATCAAATCTGTCTCCCAAAAGGCTGTCATCCCCTAACCCACCCCCATCCAACTTGGGACAAAAGTTCTGGTTTGCTCACAACTTCTCATCCTCCTTGGAATAGTTAAGCTTCTTTATTATGGCAAATATGGCATGTGAAAGTTCATTTATATTTTAGTTTGTATCTTCAGGATCAGTAATGTAGAGCATCTTTTGAGGTGCTGTAGACCCTTGCAATTCCCACTTCCTTGTATTAACTCAGGAAGTGGGGTGTGGGATCTGGAAGAGGTGGACTAGTTCAGACCTGCTAAACTGGCCACATTGGCCTGCATTTATGAGCTCACAGCCACGTGTTAACTGGATTCCAAAGATGGGGAATCTTTGGAATTAGCAGTTGCTAAAGGGACCACACAGCTCCTAAACTCTCTTTCTTTTCAAGAATCATTTTATTTGTCTTTATTTATTTAAATTTGACCAGGGAGGGACAGAGAGAGAGAGAGAAAGTGAGAAAGCAAGCCACTAGATCTGGGACTCGAACCGCGCTTGGCCATATGGGAATCTGGCACATTTAACCACCACCCCACCTGCCAGCCCAGCTCCTAAACTCTAAAACATATATTATCTCACTCTTCACAGAAAAAGTACATCGACCTCTGATTAGTAACTGTGGGCATCCTTGCCCATTTTCCTACCGGGTGGGAAGTTATCTTGGTGTGGAACAGAGGCTTACTGCAAAGCCTCTCTCTGCTGGCTTCATATTCACCATTCAGTTTAATCCTCGCAGGTCCCTGTGCAATAGATTGTTTTCCCCGTTCTATGGATGGGAAAAGATCAAAGATCAGAGACGTGAGTCTCATTGGGAAGGAGATGCATGGCCAGAGGCAGTGGGGCACCAACAGGTGGGACTAGACCCAGAAGCCATGACCCGAAGGACCAAACGGCTTCAGGGTGAAACAACAGTCCTCATCCCTATTGGTTAAAACTCCTGGCACCTCCAAACAAGAGGTGCACTGATTGGTGGTAGGCTGACCAATGAGAAGGTCGCAGCGCTAGTGTCAAAGGCTCACGTCATTCGAGGTTCTTTCAAGCATTTGGTGCCCTTGGTGACTATTTCCGCCATCCCCAAGGACCTGGCGGCTCTTGACTGTAGCATGCCTCTCCCGCAGTGAAACGAAGACCAAAACCCTTAAACTCTGCTGCCAGGACTAAACTGATGCCATGAGCTCCCTGGATAAGGTGTCTGTTACGAGAGGTCGTCAGTGCCTTGAAGGCATGGAGTGGATTGGTGTACAGTCTGCTGACACGGGTGCCTCCCTGGGACTCACACGAGGCCTTGATATGGGGGCTCCGTGGAGTGGAGAGGGTGAGGGCAGGATCAGAGACACTCAGGGTAAACACCTAGGTACCAAAGGGGGCCTCGCGGATGCTGAGGGTGACTTAGAAGGTACCGATGGCTTCAATTCTCATTTCCAGCTGAAAGAGCAAGCAGCAGGAGGCAGTGTGATTTGGAGCTGTGAAAGCCAGCCTGGCTCCCCAGCCTACGAGAAGTGGGGCACTCTGCTCAACACGTCCCACTTCACTGATGAGTCAGCGGCCATCTTGCAGCATCTGATTGACAGGGATGCCTGGGGCCTCCGCAGATATCCGACCCCAGAAAGTTGCCCAGATGTTACCCCCATTAGGGAGGATGTAGAGGCAGAGCCCAGTGGTGAAGGCGCACATGCCCGGAGTTGTACCGAATCATGTCAGGCCTCTGCCGCCCTGCCCCCAGTCACCGGACCCGAGGGTGGTGGAGACTGGAGTGGTCTGAAAAGAGACCCTAGAAGTAGATCAAACATCAGTGTGGAGGGCCAACAACCCTCCACAGAAAGCCAGACCAGGTCACTTTCTGAGTATCAGTCATCAGATGATAGTGATATTCAGGTGGTGAAGTTCAGCTTTTATATCACACAACAAGGCCAGGCCTGGCCCAGCAGCCCAGAGGAACCTAGAGACACTCCACACTGGGAACACCATGTTGAGGAAAATTTCCCTCACAGACTAGGCCCTCTCCCAATCTCTGTTTCCAAAAGGCTCACTTCAAGCAAGGAAAGGCAGGCCATTGGGGAGCTAAACATGCGCTCCTCTAAGAAAACACAAAATATGTGCTGTAGGAAAGGAAGGAGCAGGCCCAGCCACTCTGGGACTGCTGCTTCAGGAGACCTGCCCCGGGCCCCTACTAGGCAGAAGGTGGCCCAGGAGAAAGCTCCAGGAGGTGCCTCAGCAGTTGGCTCTGGGAGAATCTTTCCTTCATGGGGACAGAGACGCTCGGTACCTCTCCTGGAACCACCCAGCTTGCCTGCAGTCAGTGGAGTGTCTCTGCTTGGGAAGTCCAAGAAATCTGCCTGCCTCCCTTCGGGACCCAGACACTCCAAGATCGGAGGCACCGGGAAAAAATCTGTGGCAAGGAGAAAGAGAGTGTCCCAGCCTGTGAAGGGAGAAGTTAATGAACCAGATAGAGATGCAGTCCCCGGGGTCCAGGTGAGTAGGCCACCCTTGCCCTCCTCTCTGTACTCTTCCCCTCACCCAGCACACATACCTTACCCAGGGATCTTTCTATCCCTTAATCCAGGGATGTCATTGGAAGCCGGTGGTCACTAGGATATCATGTCAAAGTCATTTCATAAGGGGCAGACATTAGGAGAGCACTTGGTATGGGCCAGGCATGGTTCTGGACACGTGGCAGACTTTTGGCTTTTTCCCCAGAGGGGCTGGGATGGAAGGCAGGGCTGGCAGCTGATTTGGATCAAGAGTCCCCTTGAAGTCTGAGCTGCAAAGCTTCTGTGTCTAGACTCACCCACCACCGGCGTCCTCCCTAGCTCTTCCCCAGGACTGCCTTGTGGGGGATCTGGGTTTTCTCAGGAGCCCGGGTGTCCTCCCTGACTCAGCCCTGCCTCCTGGCCTGGGGCTGACTGAGGGAAAAGTGCTAATGACATTAACCTCTGAATTCCCTTCCTTATACCCCACCTCACTCCGGCCTCTACACACACACACACACACACACACACACATTCACATACCTATCACAGCCCAACTCAATGAAAAATTATTCTTTTAGTTTTCAATACACAGACCAAGGCCGCTTTGCCGATACATGCATCATGGACAATTCACCAGTGAGGATTACAATCGTAGAGCACCCCAATTTCCAGGAAATTTCCAATACTTGTCCCTGAGATGTAGAAGGGTCACATCTAGAGTCCCAGAACCCTCAGGTAAGTCCTGTTGATTCAGTAGCAGTGGAGGAAAGAAGGATGGAAGACACTACCTTCTGGCTCTGTGACTTCAGGGACTCACCTGTGTTCTCTGCCTTCTCTGCCTACCTAGGCAGTTCTCCCATGGAAAATGGGGTGTCAACAGCACTGATCTCATGCAGCATCATCTTCAGTGGGGTATGGACAGTCAGGGTGAGCTGTAGCTGTGCCCTAAACTCCAACAATAGTAGACTTTTAGCAGGACAGACCCTGCCCTGTTATGCCTGGTCAGCCACATGGCTCCTCCAGGGGTGCCTGTATCTACAGCCCTGCCAGTGTCCATGCCAGGGCCACAGTCCTGGGACACCACAGTCCCAGATGGACCTACACTGAGGTCACAAAAAGGCAAACTCAAAGAAAGGTGAAGGTGCCGTCACAGCAAGGGCAACCCATTGCCAGCAAAAGCATTGTTGGACCTAACCGAGTCTCCACCCCACCCCCCACCCCCCG